GGGGGGGGGGGGGGGGGGGGGGGGAAGTGTGATCATGTAACAAATCTTCTCTCACTAAACTAGGAACTTAGCCATCAGTACTTCAAGTGGGACCGGTAACTCTTTGAAGGAGAGCAGCCGCGTAGGAGCGTAACGCTGGTTTCTCAGCAGCGGCCACAGTCACGCCAGCTGTAGGGAATTTCGCTGCTCTTACCTTGATGACCTGGAACCACTCGAATTACCGGAGCATTTCTTGGCCAGCCGGGGTGGGCGGTGCGGGTGGGGTGCTGATGTGGTAGAGGAAAGCATGAATGTGTCTAACCCCATGAAGCTGATGGCTCTGGCCTCTGTGAGCACCTTCTGAGGGGGGGACTTGAGAAGCAGAAAGCTTGGATCGTTCTGGGAGTCTCTAGTAAGAGATTATGGGTTAATGGCACTGCTAAGGCAATTCTTGGTCAGATGATTTCCTTGGGCATGGTTTTATTTAGTAGTCGAGCTTATCCTCAAGAGACCGGTGCCCTAAGGAGTGTTACTTTGTTTCTGATTTCCAGCCTGAAGCTGTTAGCTCTGATTGATTGTATAAAGAGTTTCTTTGTGCTTGCTGGAGATGTAGAAAGCTTCAGAAAAAACCTTCCTGGTGCTGTGGACATCGTGTCTAAACCTAGTTAAAGTAGACACGTACGCAACTCTGCATTGATTTCTCATGACGTCGTTGATGAAGGCCATGGATAGAATTTCAGGTTTTAACATTAACTGGTAAAGGGTAACATCTCTCTCTCTCTTTTCCAGGAGGAGCAGTTGGTGGCTTGCTTGGTGCCTGGATGGCTACCGGACAGTTCAGGCCGGTCCCTCAGATTTTGTTGGAATTGCCTCCTGCTGAGCAGCAGAAGCTCTATGATGAAGCTGTTACTATTCTCAGGCACTTAGACTGGGCTGATATTGTTCAGCTGACTGCTCTTGTAATGGGAAATGCTGATCTCCAGCAGAGGTTGACAGGAATGCTGAGAAAATACCTCACCAAAAAGCTAGGACTAAAGATAAGGTATAGAAAATAAACCATTCCAGAGCAGGCTTTTTGCAGTGTAATGAATTTTTACTCTAAAAATTGTGGTTCTTCAACACAGCAATTACTAGTTATCAGTACTGATTATGAATGTAGGAAGATCTAAGTATTATTTTGGGGGTTGGGGTGGTTTTCTTTTTTGTTTGTTTGGTCGATTTGTTTTGTATTGTAAGGATAGTATTAGATTACTGCATTATCCTGACACTGACTTGCTATGTAAGTTTGAATTACTCTGCACTAGGATTGAATTCAAAATAACTGAAGGGAATTATGCTTCTCTTACGCTAATGTATCACTAGTTAAAATTTTCAGTCATTGTGTTTTATTCAGGAGATTTAATGCTGTTTGTGTAAGTGCTTTAAGTTTCTTCTCTGGCTGACGTATAGGTGCCAAAGTAGGTAGGGCACTTTGAAGAATTTTACCTACCGTCTGTTTGAGTCCCGCAAAAGAAAGTTATAAGGAAGTACGTTATTCTACTGTGAACTCGAGGATCTCAATCCTTACTTCGTTCTTTGTCGCAGTTTTGTTGTAATTCTTGAGTTACTTATTCCGTTCTGTAAGAAGTGAAGCCAATGCCTAAACAATGTTTAAAGCAACAGGTAAACAAACTGCGCAGTTAGGAGTTCCTGGTGTCCTGGAATGGGAAGGCATGGCAAGAATAGACTTTAAAAAAAAAAGAAAAGGAAATGGGGAGCCGAATCTGCCATTTTTGTACTATCTCTAGGGCTAGGGTTGTCATTTCAGCATCGGGTTCTTGAGTGAATCTGAAGAGCTGGTCCTCTGTTTTCATTAAAATATTCATAACAAGCATCATGGTGGCCTGTGTTTTGCTTTAAAGTAAATGAACACTTTAAGTTCTGAAATTTGAGGAAGAAGGCAGCCCTGTACTGGTCAGCCAGCAGCTGGCAGCAGCGGTGGTGGTGGTGTGGGGTGACATGCTGGCTGCAGTTAACACTGTAAGCCCCAAATGCAAGGTTACCAGATATCCCAACCAGTTGTTCAGCATTTGTTTCCAGGCGCTTGTAAGACAAGTTCGTAAGTAGAAAAATGTGCAGGTGTGCCTTTGTTGTATGTAAAACCAAGTGAAACTGCTGTCCTAATTGCCTTTGCCCCCCAAAATAAAGATTTACCTGTCTGTGTGTGGTGAGGTTCCTGGTAGTTGCGTTTTAAGCGGTGAAGCTTTCAACTCAGAAGTTGCTATGGTATGCATTTGATTAATTTACTGCTGCAGGTACAATTTGCCATTAATTAATTCAGTGTACTTTCCTGTCTGGAGCGCAGCGCAGCGATGGTTCTTCTCACCATTTGAGAACACTTTTTGTGAACAAAGACATCTGCGAAAGGTGGAAGCGAACGGCAGGCAGGCACTCCTTACCCTGGCATAGTTCCGTAATGCCAAGCCTAAAATCAGTGTTCATTCAGTTTCATTGCCACATGACACACACTGCACCTGGCTGTTTAAGACTTCACCTACTCTGTATAGCCACGTGAAAATACTATTTTAATGAAGGCGGTTACTTTTATTTGCAATGTGCTGGTGATTTCCCAAATTGAATTCACGCTTTCCAAAAAAACACACTGCTAA